CTGCCCCATTGGACAAGCTCTCTGGCCCATCGGAGAGTGCTCTGGCCCATTGGACAGCTCCCTGCCCCAGGGGGCTGAGCCAGCTTCTCCTATCTGCCCCCAGCCTTCTCTGGAGGCCTGGAGGAAGTGAGGGCTTCCCTGCTGATCTGTTTCCACTGCCAGTGCCCAGCTGTCAGGGCTCCTCCCTCCTCTGAGTATGCCCTTCCTTGCACTCAGGACCCTATTTTGGGGGGAAGGGGCAGGGAATGGAAAGACTGGTGAGCACACCCGGGCCCTTCAACATTCTGGTTCACAGCTCCTGGGTCAGAGGCACACAGCTGGAGGAGTCTGACACACTTGAAAGCATCTGTAAAATTGGGGAGGGGGATAGAGAAGGGGCAGTGTTGGGACTCGGAATCAGGAAGGCCTGAGTTTGAATTCTGCCTCAGTTGTGTGGCCCTGGGTGACTTCCCTAACCTGTCTCAGTTCTCCCATCTGTCCAATGGGAGTAGCAACAGCACAGACCTCACTAGGGTGTTATGAGGAGGACGTATGTGAAGCACTTGTCTAAACTGAAAGTTCTTACAGCTGTGAGTGACTTCTGAGGTCCTTTCCCCACATCTCTGGGTCTCTCTCCAGAAAACTGCCCTGTGCTCCCGTACTTCCTAACTTGGAGATGCCACACTGGGGTCAGGCTGTCCACACGGGTGAGGGAGGGTCCCTCTTCCAGAGGTCACACTTGGTGCCCTCCAGTCAGAGCATCCCCGCTGTCCATCCTGTAGTCTGCTGCTCTGAGGACAGTCACCAAATTACCTCTGGCCTTGTGCTGCCTTGGCTCGCCTCTCCACCAGCCCTGTGGCTGCCCAGGCCAAATACCCTTTTCCTGGCCTTCACAGCCCTCCACGTTCAGCCTTTTTACACGGACGTTCCTGGAAGGCAGGGCCCGTAACCCCGGGGCTTAGCACAGTGCCTAGCACATAGTCAGACTTCAGTCCATCCACAAGAATGTATCAGGCCCTGCTGACCCACTTGTGGTGCCCACTTGCCACCCAGCTCTCCCCTGTGGCTCCAGGAAGCAGTAGCATGTGCAGCGGCCACACCCCGGTAAGCCATCTCGGGGTAACCGACGGGCCACAGACCCGTTGGTGAGTTAGGGTGGTGGTAGTGTCTACACCAAGCCTGGGAAGACTGCCCCCCTGCAGAATGGGCGGATGAGAACAATTTTTTTCCAACAGCCACGAAGGCAGCTGAAGAAGGCGCTGGGTGTGCTTAGCACTGGGTCAGACGCAGGAGGCGCCACGGTCATCCACTGCATCCCTGGCCAGTCCTGACCCTGGTCCTGCCGCTGGGCTTCAATGACTGTAAGAGAGAGTGAGGCTGAGGACTTTGTGCAGCTCTGCGTCATGGAAATCCAAGCCACGGGCAAGTCAAGACATCACGCATGATGTCACTGGTCCTCTCCAAAAACAAAGGATGAGCAATAACTATGTGCCAGGCGCTGCGCTAAGCACCGGGAAACAAATACAGCAAAAAGAAAGACAATCTCGGCCCTCAGGGAGCTTACATTCGGGGGGGGGGCAACACATAAAAAGGGAGCTGAGAAGCTGAGGTGGAGGAAGGGAGACAGGGAGATGGTAGGGCAGGTACATGGTGGCTGCATCCAGAGACTGTGGGCTGGCTGTCCCGGGCCCTTCTCCAAAACGGAGTTTCCAGGGAGAGCGCACCCGCGGGAGCGCCAGAGTACCAGCAACTCTTGCTTTCTGCTGTGCTCTCTGGGGCCAAGCAGAGCCTGCTTCTACAGGTCAGCCAGTCTCAGTCCCTTGTCAGGGCATGGCGGTGGGCTCCCCAGCGTTCCCTGAGGTGAGATCTGAGCAGCCTGTGGGGCAGACAGATGGGGGCTGGGAGGGGACCCCCGCCTGCAATGAGCTCTCTCGTCCCTTCCTCATTGACCTGAGTCTATGCTGCCCTGGCCAGAGCCTGACTTTCAGCCTTGCCTGACAGGGAAGATGATCTGGTGGTCTGAGAGCCAGGGAGCCAAAGAAGCCCATACATGGCTGGACACACTGCTGAGCCAGGAGGGAGGGGGAGGAGAGGGGAAGGGGGACAGAGGCTGAGGGATGAGTCAGGAAGAGGGGAGAGTGGATAGGGAGCCTGAGAAGCTGGGCTTGGTCTGCCCATCAACAATAAATAGGAAGGACAGTGGGAGGGCCAGACCCACCTGAATCCACCCCGCCCTCCAGGAAATCACAGTCTACAAGTCTGCCTCTTGGCCTTGCCGCTCACTGGCTGGGTGACCTGGGCCAGCCCCTTCTTCTCCCTGGACCTCAGTTTCTTCCCCTGTCAATGAAGGGAGGGTCGGGGTGACCCCTGAGGTCCCTTCCGTGTCTCTGTCTCATCCCCACTGTGAGGAAGGAGGGGGCTGGCGTACGCAGACCTTGGGCCACACAGGTAACTGGGATGGAGTGTGTGGAGTGGAGTGGGATGGAGGCCAGGCTCCACTGGGAGAGGGATTGTATCAGGGCCCTGTCAGTGAGAGAGACCAGGCTTGGGAGCAGGCTGGAAGCTCGCCTCAGGGCCTGGCTGACGGGTGACTGTGGCCACAGCTAGAGGATGTTTGACTTCCTGGGAGAGGAGTGAGCCCCCAGTGAGCAAACAGGCCTGACTCTCCATGGGGAAATCAACAGAGGGCTCGACTGGGATGGAGAGCCCAGGCAGGAGGACTCCCGGCTGGCGGGTGGGGCCGCTTGGCAGGCTCTGCCCCTCCCTCATCTGTCTGCTGGGCTAACCCTGGGGATCCTGCTCCTGAAGGGGTGGGGGCACAGGGGGCTCACAGGGCTTGGGAGGGGGGTAAGCACAAGCGTCGCTCGCCCATGGGCCAGCCAAAGAGTGGGCTCAGGCCTATGGTCTCCAGGTTAGGGAGTGGTTGAGTCAGATCCTGCCCCAGGTGTCGGGATGAAAGCCAGACAGCAGTAGAGTCTCACACCCAGAGGCCCGACTTCCTGCCGAGGTCTCCCTGACTCCAAGGCAGGCCAGCTCTGGGCGGCGAGGTGAAGGGAACCATCCCAGGTCGAGCCCTCCTACTGGGACCCAGAGATGAGGGAAGCCTTGGCACCAGCCCTGTCTTCACCCAGAAACTCCTCTTGTGACCAGCTGGCTCGCCAACGTGCTGGCTTCCTGGGAAGCGGCATGAAGCTGAATGAGGAGTGGGGTGTGGGGCCTGCCTCTGCAGCTCACCTGCTGTGTGACCTCAGGCCGGCCCTCCCCTCTTTGGACCTCAGTTTCCTTCCCTGAAAAATGAAGGTCACGACTGCTCCACAGAACAGTGCTGAGCCCTCACAGGGTTATGCTTGTCATCTAGGACTCCCCAGCCCGGGAGGTCGGGGACCGTTAGACCCAACCTACAGATGAGAAGAGCTCAGCCCCACCCAATAAAGGCAGGAGTGCCTGTGCGCACAGCCTCTCTCCTCCTGCTCTGGCATCCCCTGGAAGGTCCTTTCTCCATCACCTGCAAATACCCCTGCCCTGCCCCAGCTGTGGCCTGGCTTCCTGGTCCAGCGCCCAGCGCTGGGCATGGTCAGTCATACAAATCCCGGCTTATTGGTGCCAGACTCCACTCACTCACCCACAAGAGCCAAGAACAAAAGAGCAAAGTGTCCAATCGAGGCCAAAGGGAGACCTAGCACACGGGAAGACAGCTGCCGCACCAGAGAATCCTCCTCGGGTCGGGGCTATCCTTCCTGGGTGTGACTTCCGGAATCTGCCAGAATCTTTAAGTTGTGGAGTCATTGCAGTTGTGTCCCAGTCTTCATGGTCCCTTTTGGGGTTTTCTTGGCAAAGATGCTGGAGGATTTGCCACTTCCTTCTCCAGCTCATCTTACAGATGAGGAAACTGAGGCAAACAGGGTGAAGTGACTTGCCCAGGGTCACACAGCTAGGAAGTGTCTGAGGCCGGATTTGAACTCAGGAAGATGAGTCTTCCTGACTTCAGGTCTTGCACTGTATGCACTGTGGCGCCCCCTACCTGCCCATTCAGAGCCCAGCTCAAATGCCACCTCCTTCGGGAAGTCCTCTTTGACCTTCCAACCTCCAAGCTAACAACCTTTCTACACAGATCTCACACAGAGCCATGACTGAACCTCCTAGAGAGGCTTGTATAATGATTATAAAGGAAGTGAGTGAAAGGATGGCTCCCAGCTGCTCCATGGTGAGTCAGATAGGGAAGCTGGACAAGTGAGGGCTTTTTTTTTTTAAGGCAATCAAGGTCAAGTGACTTGCCCAGGGTCACACAGCTAGTAAGGATTTGAGGCTGGATTTGAATTCAGGTCCTCCCGACTCCAGGGCCAGTGCTCTGTCCACTGTGCCACCTGGCTGCCCCAAGTGAGTTTTATCATACACCCAACATGGGACTCTCAGTGGAGATAACACTCTGGAAGCTTGAGGAAGGGGCCAGAGTCAAAAGACCACCATGATGAGGCGGCAGTTTCTATCCCATCATCTATGGCAGAGAATGAGGAAGCAGGGAAGTTCTAAAGTCAGTCGACATATTCTTGAATACTTAGTGATTTCAAGGCAAAGGCAGGAGGGGGGGGGACAGAGAAAAATCCATGTGAAAATGTGGTTCAGAAGTAAGAAATGGGAGCTGCCAATGGCCGGAAGGCTAGACAGAAGCCTGCCGCTAGCGCATTGTGAGCATTCTCTTAGGGAGTGCATTGGGAGGTGCTGACCACGGTGAGAGCCAAAGCATACCACAAAAGGGTTTTATTTTATTTTTACAGACAGGAAAAACTGGCTACCAACGTGGGAGTCATTTCCAAATCAGCTGTCTGTGTACAATCATACCATTGACTTGTTGGAGCAAAGATCAGAACCAAAGTAGGGAAAAGAATAAAAACGAGAAAAGGAATCCAGTAAAAACCACCCCAGCCTGACCTACTTATTTGAACAAGCTGATAAAGTAAAAAATGGGAAATGGATAAAAGCACGGATATGGACACAGACTACTTCCATTTCCCAAGGAAGTTTAGCCGGTGTAAATCCACGGCCACAACAAGGAGACCAAAAGAAACTAGAAACCACACCAGCCAGCAAGTGCTTGATCTCTTTGCCAAGTGGAGAGATATGCCAGCCAAAGGCAATGGTGGCTTAAAATACGTGCTTGTTTGTAGAATCTTCTGGAGGAGGTGGATGGAAAATTATGAGCAGTCTTGCCTCATGACACCATGAGAATCAGTGGAAGGAGGCACAGTTTTACAGACACCTGATGAAGCTACCATCTCAGAACGTGTAAGGATGAAGCTGGGGGTGGGGGATAACATCCAGCAGAGGAGAAATGCAAAAGATCCGTCAAGATTTCTATACAAATTCTTTTCTCCATCAATGACAGCAGAGCCATCGCACCTTAGTTTTACAATCACAGCCTCACATGGGCTGCCCCAAGAAGTGGGAAAGCACACCTACTGGGTGGTTTGGTGGACAGCACACTGGACCTGGGGTCAGGAAGACCTGAGCTCAAAGTCCGCTTCAGTCAGTTACCAGATTTGTGACTCTAGACAACCCATAGTGGGCTGGACTGACTGGAGAGGTCCTGGGCTCCTCCCCTTGGAGGTCTTTGAGCAGAGGCCAGATGACTGGCAGGTGTTTGTTGGCTGGGTCACAGAAGTATTTCCTGCCCCAGGATGCATTGGACTGGGTGATACCTTCTCTCACCACTGGACTGGTTTCCTTCGTGTCCCCGTGAAGGGAAGAGTCCCTGGGTGGTCTTAGGTAACTCAGAGCCAGCCTTGATGGCCTTGACTTTGGGAAGGCAAGGGTTGGGGAAGGTGGGAGGGAAGAGAGGAGTGAGGGCCCCTCAGAGCAGCCTCTTGAGGGTCTAAGGTTCTCCCTGGGAGGGAAGCCCAGCTGGGCTGAGGCTACATGGGGTCGTGGACACGGGCCCAGGCTGGTCCTCTGGCTGAGACATCTAAACATCAGGAGCCAGACATGTGCCTGCTGAGGGCACTGAGGGGGTCCTGAGATGAGCCACTTCCCAAGCAGGCTTGTGGTGTGCAGTGGCTAACAGGACCTGTGATCTTAGTCCATGGTGTCCAAGGGCCCACAAGAGCTTTAGACATACGAGCCATCTTCTGGAGGCTTTTTACTGCCTCTGGGTCTCCTGCTCTGCAGGCCTCCCGTAAGGATCCCCTCCAGGTCAGACTTTTCTGCTCCACCAGCTGACTGTCAGCTCTGGACGTCCAGGACCGGCCTTTGGGGCTCTGCGTCATCTCCTCCTGCCTCTGCCAGTCTCTACCCCCTTTCTTCTCCTTGTCTGAACAAGATGATCATCTGGGTTTCCTCAGAAAAGCCCCCTGCCCACAGGAGACTTAGGGATGGGATGCCCTAAGCCCTAAGTGGGCAGAAGTCTCCGGAAGTTGGGCCTGGAGAGTTTTGCCCACCACGGCCCAGGGGCAGATCTATGGGGGCTGGGAATTCAGTGGGAGCTCCCCATTCCCCCAGTCCCAAATCTCATCAGGATGCCAGGTGGGGTCCTGTCCTGGAGCCTCTGCAGTCATCAGGCAGGCTGCCCCCTCACAAGGGCGATATTGCCAGGTGTTCTCTTTGCCTTCCCATCCCCCCCACCCGGTGCCAAGGGGTTCCTTTGAGGGAGACTCTTCTGGGCTCACCTCAGGGTCCTCTTTCCCCCTGGAATGACCACTCCATTCTCTTGTGCAGATGCCGGCCCTCCTTTGATGCCCAGCCCAGGGACCACCAACTCCTTGAAAACTTCCCTGATTCTTCCCCCAGCCTGAAGGGATCGTCACCTCTCTAACTCTCCCAGCTCCTGGTTTGTCCCTCTCCCGGGGCCTTTGTATTCCCAGAGCCTGCACAGGGCCCGGCCCCTGCAGGCACTCACTTGGCGGTGCCTTGGCTCTCCCTGAGTTTCTTGGGCTCTCTCAGGAAGATATTTGCCCAGGTTACGCCACCCGAACCTGAACTCGGCTCTTCTGGACCCTCCTTGTGCCCTGCTTCTTCTCCAGCCACGCCAGGCTGCCTTTCACTGAAGCTGAGAGCATCCGAGCCAGCTTCACTCAGTGTAAGGAGAGCTCTAAGCCCCCCAATTACCCTGAAGAGGAGGGGGCTGCCCAGGGAGGCGGAGGGGTCCCGCTCCCTAGTATGGGGGGAGGGGTGCTTGTGCCGACATGGGCCAAACTCTACGGCCTTTGATGTCCCTTCTGACTCAGAGATGCCCAGATTTTATGAAACCAAACTGAACTGAGCAGAGCACAACTCCAAAGGATAAAGGAATGGAGGCTGGGCCCCTCCCCTTTGGCCTCCTCCCCATCCCACCTGGCCCCCACCCAATGACAAAGTGTTTGAGATGGAAGTCAAAGATTAGCTGGCTCCTGGGGTGGTGAAGCTGTGTTCACAGAACAAAGGAGTCAAGTCACAGCAGGGACAGATGCCTCCGGGGGGCCTCACCCCCAAAGTAACCCCAGGACAGCCTGGAAACTGCCCCTGGCCAGACCGTGCCTAGTGCGGGTGCCAGCCCGGAGGCCATCCCCAACCTGCATTTCCTGTTCTTGGTGGGGAAGAAGGCAAGGCGCTGAGCAAGAGGCAGGCCGGCCCCCTGCCCCCTGCCCCCTGCACCTTCTCTCCCAGTGCTTTCTCCTAACATGAAGAAAGAGACTTTCCTGTTATCCACCTTGGTGTGGCCGCGTGGGAAAGCCGCCCCAACAAAGAGGGTGGGAGCCGTGAGATACTGCCAGGTGCAAGGTCAGGGCAGTGTGTGGGCGAGGTGCGGCCTGGCAGACAAAGGCGGAGAGCCACAGCCCAGAGACGCGGGTGCGAATTCCCTGTCCGACACTCTGTAGATGGGGCCAGTAGTGACCTCGTGGGGCTGCGGCGAGGAGACCGTTGGCCAGCCTTCCACCGGATAAGGAGGGGGTGTTACCATTATTGTTCCTGTGGAATGAGTTCTAGAGAACACCTAAGGTCATATTTAGTCCTAGAAGCCGCAGTGTGGAGTGCTAAGCCTGGAGTCCGGGGGACCCAAGTTCAAATTCAGCTTCAGACGATCACTTAAGTGGCCCTGGGCAACACATTTAACCTCCATCTGCCTCAGTTACCCCAACTGTAAAATGAGGATAATAACCTACCTTTCAGGGTTGTTATGAGGATCGGATGAGATAATATTTGTAAAGTGCTTTGTAAACTTTAAAGAGTCATGTAAACAACATTGTTATGCCCTGGGAAAGTGGCAGTGCCAGGGGGCGGACCCCACTAATTTCCAGTTGCTCCTTTCCTTGGCCTGTGTCTCCATTTCACATGGCACTGGTTGCCTTACCTACTTAAAGTTTGTTCTTTTCCATGCTCTTCCCCTGCTCAAGAATAGACAATGATTGCATTCAGTTCAGCCTTCCCTTCGCAACATTCAAGGCCTGACAGAGTCTGGCCCCATGCCGCCTCATTTCCATGGTTCCCCAAATCCCATCATTCATACTGCGCCTCTTATGTTATTTTAATACCTTCTCACCTGCCCCATCCTGGGATTAAGCCCTATGGACCAATCCAAATAGACTGTGAGCTCCTTGGGAGCTCCTTGGGAGTAGGAACTGGGCCTTATGTAACAGCACCCAGAATGTTGGCACTCAGAGGTACCTCAGAGCCAGACACCAGCCCAACCTGGGCGTGAAATAGAACCTCTTCAACAACATTCCCAATAAGGGGTTGTCAGGCATCTGCCTGAAGACCATCAGTGACAGGGAGCTTACCACCTCCCTAGGTAGCCGCTCCACTTTAGACTGACTTTGCTAGAGGTAGAATGAGGGTTCGTGTGTGACCAGACCACCAAAGACGGCGTCATCCCTGTAGAAGACACTGCAGATCTTCTTCTGGGAGACTGGATGACCGGAGCGCTCTCGGACACTCTGCATCGGCTCACTGGGTGGCCGGGAGCGACCTTTCTCCCATTGGCTGGGGCTGGTGTCTTCAACACGCTCGTTCTTAGCACCTACAGAGGCCTTTTGCTGCATCTGTCTGAAGGGAAGGAGACATCTTTCTTCACTAGATAAGTGCGGGCCTGGGGGCTGCGTCCTTCCTCCCCCACACCAGGTCATTTGGCCCCAAGAAACCAGGCCTGGGTCTTTGTTCTTTTGCTCACTTTTCCGCATTCTAGGTGCTGGGAGTAGAGTTTCAGATCTGGCCCTGGAACACAAACCATGAGGATCCAGGAATCCCGCTCTCAGGCTGAATGTTTGGTCAGCCCAGCAGGGATGCCCCGAGGAGCAAGGGTCCAGGAGACCACCCCAACGGGTCTGCCCTAAGCTGTGGTGAGTGGTTAGATTTGACTGGGGGCCACTCACATTGGAAGGACGATGAGGGCTTGAACCAAGCCCTCCAGGTACCAGGGAAGCCCGAGGAGGGTAAGCCTGGCAGGGAGAGTGGGCCCAGAGTCAATCATGTTCCATAAACAAAAACACCTTTTGGACTCCCAGTTTAGCAAAGTCAAAAATGGACTTGAGGTTTGTCCAGCATGACTCGTCCCTGGTGAAGCCATCGAGTGATTTCCTGAAGGTTGCCCAGCAAACACTGGAGCCTGGAACAGAACTAAGAGCACGGTTTTTTCCCTCTACCTCAGGTTACGTCTCAGGCCGTGAAACTGGGGACTTAAGAAGGATTGGTCTTGTTGTTTTAGTCGTTGAAGAAGCAAATTGAGTCTCGATGACTCAATTTAAAAGTGAATATAAAATATGAAAAACAAACAGGTATATGAAAAGACTCCCCGACCAGGAGTTCTTCCACAGTGGGATGGACTGCTGCTTCTAGAGGTGTGCTTCCTCTTACCTCACTGCAAGCGTTCAATCAGAGTCTGGCCAGTCAAGCGTCAGGTGTGTGGTAGAGGGAATTAAAAAAAAAAAGGTAAGGGTTGGGCCAGGTTGCCATTCAGATTCACTGAAGAGGCCCTGCACCAGGTGGAGCTTGTTACAAGCCAAGAAGACAACCATCTTGTGACGGTTCCTAGCTCGGGAACGGTTCTTCGGGTTCTGTTTCTTTGGTGTTGCAGTGACTTATGATGTCTTATAGTTGAGGTCTTGTTAGCCTGAGTGCTTTCAAAGGAGCCGAACGTCCTTTTCTTTTTTTTATTCACAAACCAAATTCTGATGTTTACCCTGGAAACACATCCCTTCTAGCATCTGTCATTTTTCTTTTTCATTATCTTAGACAATCTGATAGGTGTGAGGTGGTACTTCGTAGCTGTTCTCATTTGCATTTCTCTAATTATTAGTGATTCAGAGCATTTTTTCATGCCGCTATTGATAGCTTGGATTTCTTCCTCTGAAAACTGCCTATTCATTTTGACTATCAGTTGGGGAAATGGCTCTTTTTCTTATAAAATTTGACACTGTGTTCCCCTTATGTCTTAGAAGTGAGACCTTTATCAGAGAAACCTGCTACTATTATTTTTTCCAGTTTCTTATTTTTCTTCTAATTTTAGCTGCATGGGTTTTATTTGTGCAAAACCTTTTAAATTTTGTGTAATCAGAATCATCCATTATACTTCCTATGAACCTCCCTATCTCTTATTTGGTCATGAACTCTTCCTCTAACCGTAGATTTGACAGGTAATTTCTTTCATGTTTTACTGATTTGCTTCTAATGTCTTTTATATCTAAATCACACACCAATTTTGAGTTTATCTTGGTATACTATGTGAGATTTTGGTCTGTGCTTAATTTCTGCTAGATCACTTTCCCGTTTTCCCAATAGCTTTTGTCAAAGAATGAGTTCTTACCCCAGTAACTGGGACCATTTGGTTTATCAAATACTAGGTGACTGAGCTTGTTTGCTTCTGTGCCCCTAATCTGTTCCACTGACCAACGTCCTCTTTCTTACCCAGTACCATATTGTTTTGATGGTTACAGCTTTGTAGTGTAGTTTGAAGTCTGCTGCTGTTTGGCCCCATGGGTTCTATTTTGGGAGTCTATGGATTCTGGGTTCACTTGAACATTAGCATCATCATCAGGAAGATGCTGGTAGGCTCTAAGATCTGGAAACCAGGTAGATTCTACCTTCATTCTATTCCAGAATCCACAAAATTCCCCAAAGAATCCATGTATAGCCCCCATGTGACATTGATCCCACAAGTAGACAACGTGTAAGGATTATACTGCCTGAGGCAGCTTGCCCTTGGAATGAGGTTACTTCCAGCAAGAGTCCTATCTCCTAGGGACCCATCCTTTTCCTTCCCCTTCCTTGTAAAATTTCTGCTTATTGATTTTCCTTTGGATTCCCAGTTTGGCATGACAGAGAAGCAACTTAGTGAGATGAAAGAAAAACGAGTGAGCAGTGGCTGCTGAGACCCAGTAGATGGAGGCTGCCGACATCAAAGTCTTTGAAGCCTTAAAAGGGCTGTGAGAACTAACCAAGAGCAGCCTTGCCCCCATAGTCATCATGAAAGACACAGGGCTGGCTTTCAACCACGAAGGGGGGACGCTTGAGGCTCAAAGCTCCCCCAGGTTCCCCCCTTGCCTCCTTTCCTTAGCTGAGAGTGGGCACCACATGGTGCGGGCCCAACCAAGCAGCACAATCGGGCAGAACCCAGGCCCAGGGAAAGAATGGGGGCTGGGGGGGGGCAGTGAGGTTATGGGTGTGGGAGGCCCTCTGTTTTCTGCTAGCAGCTGAGATCCTCAACAGACCTGGGACTCTCAGTCAGGATTCTCCCCCCACAGGCTGGACTTGCCCCTCTCAGCAGCTGTGGGCTATGAGACAAAGGCAGACAGGAGAGCAGGAGGTCAAGAGCACCCACCTGGGCCCAGCGGGATCACACTTCTCTAGGCTGAGTCATCTAACAGTGTCCTCTATCCCAGAACAACGCAGTGTGGGAGGGAGGGAGGAGGGAAGGAAGGGCGATGAGGAACAGAGAAGGCATTTTTGTCAGGGAGGGACATGGTCAGAGCTCTGTGGTTTATCACGGAAAGCTCCCCAAAACCTACACCTGAAAGAGGGTTTCCCTGTTCAACGGCATACCTGGCAAGCGGCCGTCCCACTTCTACCAAAGTCCTCCAGTGAGAGGAAAGCCATGGCCTCCGAGGTGGGCCCTGAAAGCATCCCTGGAGGCAGAAAACCTAGGTTGGTCCTGGTTCTGCCTTAGAAACGTGTAGGTATGGGGGTGGGGTGAGATGGGGAGGAGCCCAAGAGGACTGCCGGTCAGGAGCCTGTGGGGGTGGGGTGGGGAGGGGGGGTGCCTTCTGCTGGGAGAGGGAACGCAGGAGGGGAGGAGGGGCAGGGGGAACGATGGCGAGTTTGGCTTTGGAGTGTGGAGTTTAAGGTGCTCATGGTCGAGATGAGCACCCAGGTCGAGATGTCTAACAGGCAGTTGGAGATGCAAGACCGGAAGTCATCACTGAGGTTAGGGCTGGTGGGTCAGGGTCAAGTAGGTTTGACAATCATCAGCATAAAGATGATAACTGAATCCATGGAACCGAGGAGATCACCAGTGAAGTAGGATAGAGGGAGAAGAAGAGAGGGCCCACAACAGACCCTGAGGGACCGCTAGGGTTAGAGGGTGTGGTCTGGACAAGAAGCCAGTCAAGGAAATAGAGGAGGAGTGGTCTGAGAGGGGGGAGAAAGACAGAAACAGAGAGAGATGGGGGGTGGAGACAGGTGTCACTAAAGCCCGGAGAGAAGGAAGCATCCAGGAGGAGAGAGTGGCCAGCAGTGGCCAAGGCTGCAGACAGGTCACGGAGAATGATGCCTCAGCCTTGGACCACTCCCGCTATCTGCCCGGGATGCTCCTGCCCCTCCCCTCTGCCTCCAGCTTCCGTGGCTCCCTTCAAGTCCCATCTCAAACCCCACCCCCACCCCCACCCCCTCCTGCAGGCCGCCTCTCCTGAGCCCTCTTCATCCCAGTGTCTTGTATAAAATTGTTTGCCTGTTTTCTCCTCTATTAGACTGTAAGCTCCTCGAGGTCAGGGTCTGTCTTTTTGCCTTTGTATTCCTAGCACAGTGCCTGGCACATGGTATATACTTAATAAATGTGGATTGACTAATTGACTCAAGCCGAGCCTCATTTCTGCTCCCTCCAAAGGCTCACACCCATTCAGCCTGCCAGCCCAGCCTGAAAGCCCAGCTCCGAGGTGCCTCTGGTCATGTAATGTGCCCAGTGAGTCTGCTAAAGTTGCCCAGCCCAGCCCCCTTCTAGCCTTAGCCACTTTGAAGTCAGTTCTATGCCTTTGACTGCTCAGAAGCATAGTTTCTGCATTGATAGACTATACTATTAACTGTGCCCCCCCCATGTTGTTTCACTTGGTGTGTGGGGTGTGTGTGTGTGTGTGTGTGTGTGTGTGTGTGTGTGTGTGTGTGTGTGTG